CCTGCTCAGCCACCACAGGGCAGAGCCAGGAGCCTCAAGCAACCCCTTCAAACCAAGAAAGCTGTTGTTTTTTTTATTTTTTTCCATGTTGTTTCTTATTATTCTCCCTCCTTTTTTTTCTTTTGTTCTTCTGATTCTGTCAGGCAGTTGCTTTTACCATTAATTTTATCCCATTCTTCTATAAAATAAATGTTCATCCTGCTAACAGCCATATAAGGGAGCCTGGAAGTGTGCTCTCCAGCCCTAAACAAGACTTCTATGACTTCAATTAAGACTTCCCTGGCTGCCTTCTTAACTGTAAACTCATCACGGTGCAGGGGTTGGAAGCCCACAGACCTGCCCCCAACTAAGCTGCTCCTGAATTCTACCCTCAGGAAATATGTAAAAGGATACATGCTTACTGCTTCAAGCTGTTAAATTTGGGGCAAGTGTGTTACAAATAGGTAACTCACACTGTTACACATGCACACAGATGAACAGTATAAACCAATCCATTCAAAAACAACTCAAAATGCATATTCTTAAAAATTGACTGCCAGAACCTACATATTGGTAACCCACCATTAGTACTATGCATGCTCTTACTGCTGGGAGAGACACACATGCTGTAAAGTAGAGCTGGCCTTTGGTGGACATAGAGTTAACAATTGCTATGACTTCTGTGGTCAGAGGTACAAAAGGTCTTCTTGTCAAAACTTACCCCCACCGGGAAAAAAAAAAAGCCCCACCAATAATGTCTTATCTATCACTTTGAATGGCTATTTGCTGCACTTAACAGTCTTCCTATTGACAAAAACTATCTGTCATAGCCATACATGCTCCTTAAAAAGGAGCTTCAAAAAAAGGAGCTTCAAGTTGCCTAAGTTGTTCCACCTGTTACTAAGGATGTGATGGGCAATGCTGTTTGCACAGAAAGCTATTTCTGAGTGTGTTGGTGGGGTGGAGGCAACTTTTTCTTCATCACTAACTTCTATTAATACCTTTTTATCCTACGAGGATGAAAAATGTAAGGTCTATAAATGATGTATAAAGGACAAATTTTCCAATCTTTCTTTTTCAATCCTTGAGTTAAAGTTGATGCCAAACAATCTCTTGGTTTATAGTGACATTTCTCACAAAGAATCTTGATTTTTGTGACCGATCTGTACAGTATACAAATGTTAACTACTATTTTTCAGACAAGTGATTTTCATGTGGTTAATTACGAATAAAACTGGTTCTAAATCCCAGTGTCCTCACCACCAAAACCCCCGTCTGCCGACCGCATATGCTGCCTCTGTGGTTGTGCACGACTCAGAAGGGAGAGCCTACCGTAATCTGTGGGATGGTGAAGCAGGTGGCTACAGGAAGGCCAGGCGGAGGTCAGAAGCAGAGTGACTCTGTGCTGCTTTTTGAGGTCTGGTTCTAACTCCTCATTATTTAGGACATCTTCACAGCCCAGCCTTCCTCATGACATGGATGAAGACCCAAAGGCTTCCTTTATGTGCCAAGATCCTCATAAATCCCAAGTCACTCTTTCATTCACAGCATACAGCAAATGGCCCCGGGGAAGACAAGTCTGGAAATGGGGTACTGAGGAGCATGAGAGGTACTACCTTGGACATTTCAAAGAATTCAGCTTCTTTTCCAGACAGGATAATTCACTATTTTAGCTGAGATATTTTAACTAAATTGTTTTCTGTTAAAACAAACAAGTTTTTATAAGCCTAGAAAACACTGACTTATCGTTCTTTATCAAATACTATACAAATGTTTTCATTTAGTGGCACAAAATTACCTCTGAGAAGCATCACCGCTGTTCAGATGCTTACGAGTGCTTCTGCATCACTTATAGACGTTTATTTCATATTTAGAACTTTCTAATCTAAGTTGGAAATGTTTCCAAAGTCTAAATCCACACTTCAACTGATTATTCTGAAAAGAGTACACGTGGGAAGAACTATTTGCTCACTAGATCCTTCTTCAGCAATTCAGATACTTAATTATCATTTCCAAAGCAAATTTTCAAAAATCAAATCGCAAAACTACACATATAATTGAGCTTCCATTAAGGAGTTCCAATCGTTTGCCAAAACAGACCTGAAATTCTTAATCCCTTGTCCAAAAAAATTGGACCAAGTATTGACGTTTTCCACGAAGCAAGCCACACAGCCGCAAATGTTTCTCATTTACTCTACCCCTAGGGCATACAGCTCAAATAAAAAATTTCCTGAATACCCCAAATTTCAGATGCAATTTGGAATGCAAGTGATTCATAATGTAATGCAGGAAACATTATGCTCTTGTCTTACCCACTCAGAGTTTCTGGAATGCAACTCTCAGGAGAGCAGCCTAGCCAATTAGAAGGCTGACCTTGTTTTCAGTCATGAGACCTAACTATTATGCTCTTTGCCCCTTACTCAAACGTGATTTTGAAGCCTCAGCAATCTGTTACTACAGCTACTGTTCAAGTGAGAAAGCTGCTACCTCAAGGGAGCTAATAAGGTTCCTATTGTATACCATGACAAAACCAAGGTAACGGTGCATCCATTCCCACTAAGAAAGGGCACAGCAACACTATAAGAAACGAGGCTAGTGTCATTGCTTCTGCAACAAGATCCTTCCAGTGGCCTCTGAACAGATTTAGACCCTAATTAAATCAAGAATGAAATTTCACAGAAGCTCTTGTCATGTTCTAATCCTGCCTTTACCTTCATCCCCCTTAAGCCATCGGTTATGTCCTAAGGGACCACAACTGCAACCATTTTCTTCCACAGGCTCCTAGTCTCTCTCAAGGAAAGGAATACAGTTGACATAGGGGAAGAAAAGTGGTCACTGAGTGTTGTAAATGAGCGTGACAACTGTGCCCTGGGAAGCATGATTACTAAAAACAAGATGTGTAATGTCCCCAGTGTGGTAAAACAAAACAAAACAAAACAAAAACAACAACAGCAACAAAAAAGGCACAGTAGAGTAGCATGTGAATGAGAAAGGATGGAGATCAACATAACCACAACCATTTTCATTAACTGAACGGAGATTAAAATAATGTAGACAAATAGGACATTCTTCAACAAGAATTGTGGAGGTGTCTGAGACTCAGTGCAAACCTCAGAACAAACACCCTGAAAGTTGGAGCAAATGAGGGAAATTACTGATCCTCAGAAATATCAGCCAACAGGAAGAAAGTTCTCAAGCAAAGAAAATTTTGGAAAATGTAAAACCCGATATTCCAACAACAGCAGGATGTGTGTGTGTGTGTGTGTGTTTACTGTGTATGTCTGAAGGACAGTAAGGAGCAATAGGTAGCTTAAAATAAATTCCTCAGCAATTGTGACAACAGTAACATTTACAAAGGAACAAATGGAACATGGCCACTGAATTCATAGCTACAAGTGCTATGGGACTACTTTGATCAGGAACATGAAAAAGTATAAATGTACTTGAAAAAAATTGATGCTTATACATGAATGAGAAATGAATTCGTTTCAATTTGTGTCTGGATCTTTGTGTCAAGGGTAATCCAAAATGCTGTTTGACAATCTCTCCTATCAAAGATTCTATCTTCTATTATATCTTAGCTTTTTATTAGAGTCAGCTCTATGTGTCCACACAGGAAAATATGTTGTTTTCCTAATCCTTACATTAAAAGAGAACTTGCTTAGCTGAGGATAGGAAATTGAATACCAGACAACTATATTTTTCATTGAATTAAACAATGCTGTGGATTTTCCCTCACTACAGCTGGTTTAGAATTAAGTGTAATCAGTACACTAGTCAATAAGTTTCTACATTATAAGTTTCTATTAGTCAATGTCACATACAGGTGAAGAATCTAGAACAGTACAGACAGTTTGCTCCTGTTAGTCTCCTTCCCTTCTTGTTTCTGTCAGCCATGGCTTCTTGGCTTTTGCAGTTAAGAGTCAGACAGGGAGCTTTATACAGGATGAGTCGGTTTAGCATCAGCCTATGGTGTCCCCTAACTCTCTTGGCTTTTCTAACTGGTGTTTTATACATAGGCTCACTCTAAACCTACCTCTTTTCCTTTTGCCTTTATTGCCACTGGACAATTGCTAAGTTCAATTCAGAGTCTGTGCAGAAACCAAATGTTTTATACTACTGTACAGTGAAACAGAGTTCAGCGAGATATGGTCCTACTTGTGGAAATTGTCTTTATGGGTTGGCTTACTCGGGCATGAAGTGATTGATAGCTGGTTAACCTGTATGCTGTGTGCTTTTATAAACATGGTTTTGGATGAGAGTAATATTTACATCAGTGGGCTGCAGTAAGGAATATTGACTACCATAATATGAATGGGCTTCATTTAATTGAAGGTCTGAACAGCACATAATGCTGCCCCTCTGCTTGTTCACCATAAGAGAAACACCATGTCTTCAGCTTGTTCAAAGCAGCCTTCCTGGCTCTACAGGTCCTTGGATTCAAACTGAGACATCAGCTCTGCAGATTTGGGATTTACCAGTGTCCACTATTCCATGAGCCAAATGTTTATAATAGGTCTGCATAGAAGGATAGTTAAAAGTATCCCACTGGATCTGTTTATCTGGAAAAAAAATCTCAAAAGCGCACAATCCCCATGAGCCTCAGTGTGACTATGCGAGAACACACATGAGCAAACTGTCTCCATGAGGCCTTTCTCAAAGAACAATCCATAGCAGAGCACAATGAAGCAAAGCAACCAGCAAACCAAACAATCAAAAAACAAAACAAAATTTCACTGAAGAAAATAAAAGTATTGGAAGGCAATCTCTGCCGAGCACAGTATCAGACCATGTAATTCATTCCCCCCAAGAATTCCCATAAAGACTGTGATCTGGTTTCAGCAGACAGTTCAGTTGTCTTTTCCTACATATGCTGACTAGATGGTCTCTCGGCTTTTATGACTTAGGTACTGTTATTTGAAGCTGATCACGGGAAAATGAACTGAAGACACGGAGCAGAGTTATAAATTAATTCATTACTCTTATGGTGCACTGCACAAATATGAGGCCAGCAAGCTCACTTGAATGGCAGCCAGGTTCTTCCGCTCCTGAGACGGTGCCTCATGAACAAAGCGAAGCCAGTTGGAGTGTCTCGGGTTGGTAGCATCCAAAATATACAGAACTTCTCCCTTGCTCCCACGAACCTAAAACAAAACAAACAGAAAAATCCAGATTAATCTTACTAAATTTACCAAGGGTAAAATATTACATATTCTTTCTGAAGTATGCATCTTTTTATTGATAAGCATTGAATAAATGTTAAACTAACAGCACTCATGACTTAAACATATGTATAAAGAAAGCCTACTATTTAATTTGGCAGAGGTCTGCATGACTCACAACTGTCCTCAAATCTCAGAGACATATCATGTTTCCTATGTCCTTTTTGCGGGTGGATTTGAATATATGTGTGACAATCACAGTTGTTCAGGAGATAATCAAAATGCAAGCTATCTTTACCTCCACGAAGAGAGCAGCACTGCCTCCCAGGTGAGAGGAGTGGAGCTGGGGCAATCTCTTTCAATTCTCTTTCCATCTGTTTAGAGAACTAGCTGAAGACGGGGGACTGACTGATCCAACCAGGGGGCTGTAACAGCTCATGGGACATGGGCCTTTCTAGGGGAGACACAAAATCAACTCCATTTTGTCTTCTAAACAAACTACTCATGAATTTCTTGGGACAACATTTTTAATTATTTTATTTTACTTAGTATCTAGCCATAAATCTTGCTGGTCAAACATAATATTTTAACAAGGAAAGAAGTAACAGAATGAAGAAAGGAAAGAAAGAAGGACGGTAGGAAGGAAGATAGGAAGAAAGAAAAGAAGGAAGGAATGGTGGAGGAGTGGGAGGGAGAGGGAAGGAATGAATCAGTCCATTGAACACTCTTGAACTAAAGACACTTGGAATCTACTGTCTCCAACTGCCATTATTGATTACTCTGGCCCACTTTAATACCATACAGGCAGCAAACTCTACTTGTGTTTATATATTACTGAAATCCAGCAGAGGAGAGCTAGAGAGATTTCAGAGACTCGTTGTTCATGCAGAGAATGCAGGTCCAATTCTCAGCACCCACATGGTACTAGCAACCCTCTGTAACTCCAGCTTTAGAGGGTGTGACACCCTTTTCTGGCCTCTGGCTAGAAGTGATATATAGACATAATGCAAGCAAAACAACCATACACCTAAAGCAAAAAAATTAATATTTTAATCCAGCAGAGGATGTATAAGAATGAATGATTTTCACTTCAAACATGCAACCCACAAGACACAAATGTAAAATCTAGAAATGCACCTTCACATACTTGAGGGAAGAAAACTTTCAAGGTCAACAAATCCACATGGCATGTATTTTTCATGGTGCATTTGCATATTCACTAATCCAACAAACTAATTTTGAGTCCTAAACTGCCCAGGACTAAGAATGTTTCCACAAACAAGACAGACTAAGACAAAGTCTCTGACCTCACAGCACTTCAGAGTAAACAAACATAGAATGAAACTTCATGTAAACATGAGCACTATGAAGAAAAACAAAGCTGACTCCAGGAAATGAAGTAATGGGGGAAAGGCCAAGTCAGCATCTTTGATGAGATACCTTGAACTCAAGTGCTCTAAAGGGGATAAGGAGCTAGAGAATGATTTCCAAAAAGGGCAGCCAGCAAAGGCAGCAGAAAGGGTTTGAGTTTTGTAAATGAACTTGATGTTCACAAGGAACAGTGAAAAGGCTGAAGATCCAATAAGCTCAATTGAGAAAGTGATGGGAATTCAGATCAACTGGCAGGCGACAAGCCACCTACAAACATACACACCAAGAAGTCACCCAGCCAGTCACTGCAGGGTATTTGCAATAATTTCCACACAAAAATCTGTTAAAAAGTCATCTGTTGAATGATGGCAAAAAAAAAAAGTGAAATTTCAAGATTCTAACATATATTGTACAGGGGAAAGAAAGCAGTTAGCCTGTTCCTATTGTCTGATATCTGTCATTTCTCAAAGAGCTATTTTTTCCAAAGCCAAGCAATTTTCAGTAATCTTTTTACAGTACTGCTAATGAGATTTGTAATGATCACTGGAAAACAGAAATTTAATTTTCAGTACTTTAACTGCTAAAAGCCTTGTGTTTCTTGAATACTTATGTATAGAACTGTGAGAATTAGTTATACCTCTAACAAAATAACAAACTTGTAGAGAAATTGCTCTGCCTCCCTACTTCAAGCCTTATTGACCCATGGTGAATACAAATAAATAAATAAATAATCACCAACAATACTGTTCTGTTGGATTTAAAGCACACTGTCTACCTATCACTCAAAGAGAAATTTCATTTAACACAGTAACAATTGTAGATGTTTGGCATAAAGTTTTTCCCTTCAAGTACCACCATAACTATGGTTAAAGAATGTTTGTATTTCAAATACCTGAATTAATCACAACAAGTAGTCATCCCACTACATAGCTTAAAAAAATTCTTTCTTAAAGAAACTATAAATTTAAAATCCTAACTATTGCTGAAATCCACATAACCTATCAATGAGTAAAAAAATGTGTGTTTGTCAATGGCATCATCTGAGCTTGAAGGGGAGCCCTGGTCATGGACTTAGCTCAGGGCCCCTTGGTGCTGCATCCATTACTCAGTATTTCATAACATGTGATCAGATGGGCTTGACATATGAACTCAATGCAAAGATATCACACATTAACAAAAGTGTCTCAGGCTTACTATATAAGCACATTTAAGGAGAAGGGCTTTTCATTGTTTTTTATTTTAGTTTTGTCTCAGACCCCTTGGCTCTAACTATTTTCAGTCAGTGTAATGATTAGTATTAACTGTCAACCTGACAGAATCTATAATTATCTGAGAGACTGCCTCTGGGCATGCCAGTCAAAAATTATACTGATTACATTAACTGAGGTGGGAAACCCACCACTGTGGGTTCATGATGGACTATTCTCTGAACTGTGATCCAAACAAAAGCCCTCCCTCATTAAGTTACTTTTGTTAGGGTATTCTATCACAGCAGGAGGAAGAGAAACTAACACATTCAGTATTAGCAACTTGCTTTCATTTTTGGTTTACCAGATGGACACATTTTCCAGCTGACTTAACCTTATACAATATTCTATCTTAAGAGAAATACAAAACTTAAGAATTTCTTACTGAAATTCTTCTGAAATGTACTACTTTCAATAAAACAATTCACACTTACTGTTATTTATAATGGTGAGAAATTACTGTACAATGCCCAAATCTTCATATTTGAAAACCTATCTGTTCCTTAACAGGGTCAATGCTCATCTTATTGCAATTACCTGCACTCACAGACTATTAAGTGCCCCTTCTTGGCTCTTTACTGAGCCATGCCCTGGCCTGCAGTCTGCAGCTCCTGTGACGCCATTGCATTACCTATTCTAAGTCTGCATCTTCCTGCCCTTGTCACAGTACACTTGGGGGCACACCCTCTGAAGGAGACATCCTTGCTCATTCAGCACAAGTCAGTCAAGACAACCCCAGGCAGACAGCTACTATTAAAGTCTCCATTTGACTGTCTTAATTTGATAATGAACCCTGAGGTTATATATTCAACATTTTCAGATCTAACAAAGAAGACTAAATTCCTTCTTAGTACCACATCCCAACAGCTCACCAGCTTTGCAGCCAAAGTACAAAACTAGTCTCCCAAAGACTATCTCCTTTTACTTAAAAGTTCAAGGAAGTGAGACAACTTATTACTATCCCACTTAAAATAGTCTACTACAAAATGAGGCCCATAATGAAGTCAACATTTCATAGTAAAAATCATCTCAGTTCAAAATTTTGTCGATTTATCCAGTTTTCCTACACTAGCAACACAAGGTAGTTGCCTAAAGTCAAAGGGAAAAACACCCTATGAAAAGTAGAAGTCAAAATAGGGCTGGTTACATCTCTCTGTGCTTGGTTCCTCCTCTATGAAAAGGGAACACTACTGTTTCCAGCTCCTGTTCAATACCAATGTTGCTTTCCAAATGTCCAAGAGAAAGAAAAAAGGTGGGCATTTTGCTACCACAGGTATGCACCTTCTTCCAGATCCAAGACAAGCAAAAGAAAAGTTACAGCTCACTTCATGTTCCAACCAAGCTTTCAGAGGAAGACACATAACACAAAAATTCAGCTCAGTTAGTGAAAATCTTAGCATGTGAGTAAAAAAGCAAAAATCAGGCAGTTAGGGTCAATCAACTTCCCTTAAAGCTCAATATTTTCCTTGTTAAATTAGGTCAGCTCTAGACAGGGAGACTCCTTTATTATTTGGATGTTTACTGTTAATAGAAGGCACTATAAAAATTCATTCATCATTATATCCTTTGGTCAGTTCAATCATTGAAGTATTTCTAACTCACTACCTACATATCCACCAGGGAGACTCTGAAAACAAAGCTAATCCAAAAAAAAAAAAAATCCCCCCCCAAGAAGAAGAAAAACGGTACAAGTCAGCAGCAGTAGGGCAGTCAGTTCCACAGACACCCTTGATGAAGGACTAAATGTTAGAGCATGCCTTTCCAGAGAAGATGCGTGTACTTTAGCAAGGCTTTGCAGAACAGTGCCTTAGAGTGCTGAGACTGACGGCACGCATGTCTCTAATGTATAAAATGTCATCTTTTCATTTAAATTTCAAGCACTTCTCTGCAATTTTTTTTAACTGAAGGAAACCATATGCCCTGCCTTCAGAGCTTAATTAGTCAAATGTCAAGATACTTTGCAAGTGCTAAAAAGCAAGAGATTCTGGAGTAAAATCTGACATCTCACTGTTATCAAATTTAAACCAAAAGACCAAAACACCCGGAGATCGGGCGTACAGTCACTAGCAAACTGATAATTTACAGTTTCTAAGCACAAAGTGTGTTTCCCTTGGTGGTTTTTCAAAGGATTCTAAAGTTTTTCTTGTTCAGGTGCTTATAAACACCAAAACAGTGTCAGGGCAGGAGTTAGAAGTTCAGCAAACAGGGGGCGTGGGTTTTTGCTGTAGCTCAAGCACCCTGTTAAAAGAGATCTTGATTCAATTGCCTCCTTTATAAAATAGGTCCAGCTGGGAGTGGTGGCACCCCATGGGTATTATGGGTGCAGGAACAAGATATCGGTTCGGACGGGGGGGGGGGGGGGGC